AACATTCCAGAATACTCTGGAACGTTCGGAAGCAGTCGAGGACTTTCAAACCTAACGTATCTACCAAGTCCTTCATTACCCTTCTCTTAGTGTTGTTCGCATTCGCTGCTATCACAATTCTTCTGTTAAATACCCTTCTTATTTGTTGATTAGTTCGTCAATATCAACATCAGGGGGTCGGCTACCTCTTCCCACACGTAGTTGTGCCCACTACCAACTTTTTCAATATGCGTTTTTTCATTGATCACCATATCCGCAAATGCGTCAGCGAAGTTTCTAAATCAAAATATTCGGTACCCAATTTACAGTTGTAGCATTATCTCCAGGAGTCGAACTAACATTACCTCGCAGGCGTTAGTAGCTAAAGGAACGCACGGAATTATACGAAAATCCACATAACTAATAATGAACTTGCCCCTTTGTATAATGTAAAACTAGATAATCGTATAGTGGCAAATTGACTTATTCTTGCCATAGATCTTGTCTAGTGTGGTAAAATACTCGGTTAAAATCAAATCCGGACGATGATCGCAATTAAAATAGAAAACTTGTTTAAAGCGAGTACGTACGTTTTTGTAACGAATCAAAAGCTATAAGTGCAGGTTCTATGTTTACAGGAAACGAATTCAAATGCACACGCAGGAAACATATATACAGGGCATTGCTGAAAATTAATCTACGTGTACAACGTTACGTCTAGTCTCCTTTTTTCTTCTATTATAATTTTTAAATATTTTGCATTTCTTCATTTTGGGTATTTTTAAAAATTTCTGACATAAACTAAATGCTTGAATTGAACTAAGGACCAAGCTACAATTAATAATATTGACTGAGTTGCTAAACCAACGTATCGGTTATAGTAAGCAGCAACAAGCCTTATAATGTGTCTAGTTTTATACAAAACTAGTGGTTACCTTTGCAGTATAGAGAGTTTAAAACTACCCTTGTTTCAATCGGATGGATGTGCCACTGACTATATTCCTTTTCTTTGGTTTTTCATTACATTGCAGGACGGTTGGCTCGTACCAAAACAAGAGCGAAAGCTTCACCCTAATACAAGACTTCGTTCACGGTGGCACAACTGTTACCTTACGGTTTTCCATTCGGTTTTTGTTTGGGTGCTAATAGGCGCAATTAAAGTGTCTATAATTACTATAGTACTTTTGTGAACGATTATCTTTATTACATTTTTGATGGGCTCCCTAATTAGCAGTGCCACTATAATAATGTGCATCGATTACGATGAAGAGTAAAAAGTATTAAAATTGTATATTATAACTTCCATCAGGATTCGACCTAAACGGCTTTAGTTAATTACTATGGAAGCAATGTAACCACATACGAGGTTAACTATAATAAAAGTTCAGCTCTAAGTGTCAGTGACACTTTTAACTGATGTTTAGGGGAATGTAATGAAGCACGTAAATACGTTAAGGGCGATCTTCAACTCCTTAAATATTAGTCGATATATCTGCAAGTACTATACTGCATTCATTATAAAAAGGTAGTAGATGGCGCTGTGTTTGAAGATAAACACACACAGGAAAAATATAAAACGGCACCAAATTATTGTAAAGTAGAAATATTCAGCGCTGCAAACAGAATAAATCTTTCACAATAACAACTAATGACACTTCGACAGTTTAGTTGGCAAGATAAACTACCAACTTACAAAATTCACCAGTCGTTTTATGTTTCATTGTAATACTGACTCGTGTTTTAACCAATCACAGTGAAGGTCAAAGCTTCCCTATGCTTTCTACCGCTATCTTCCTAAAATGAAACCGTATAGAAGTCGGACTGTCAAGTTACAGTTGCATGTATGACAGATAACCGATGTGAATACATGACATCCCATGAAAATTAAGTGTCAGACCAAATTAGATAATGGCGAACATTAGGCAAACAATGAAGGTCTTTCTATATTTTGGGGTTTAGGGCTTCGATTCCACTTCTTAGTAGTTCATAGGGCCCATCAACGCGACCGACCTCTTACAAATCGAGACCACCGAGAGGGAAAACCCGAAGCACCTCTCGCATCTTCCATAGACCGATTTTTTCGTATCGACCGTCGATTAACTTCGAAGGCCATTTTTGTATCAACCGGACTAGCATTGCCTGCCTTATCACTCGAAAGTGGAAGGAATACCTTTCGCATCTTCCACAGACCGCCTCTTTGTTAAGGACCGCCGATTTACTTCGAACGCCTTTTTCGTATCAACCGGCGATTAAGTGCAAGTTGTAATAAAAAAATTTCAGATGTATACTTTGTTAGTATGAATTGCTGCTCATCTGTAAATGTACACAGGAATTATGTAAAACATGTAGACAACCGTTTACTGTTATTATGGTATAATTGGAAACGTTTATTAAATCGTGGAAAAACAACATAACCTCTTAAGAAATTGAAGTGGGAATGGTACGCACACCATTACTAACTTAAAAGTAATCGTGAAATAGCATAACCTCACATTTCGACATAATTATTTGAACTTTTAATTAAGATTGTGGCAATTTCTTTTTTAAAACGTTTAATTAAGGTGCCCAATCATTTTTATTAATTTCATGATCGTAGCTGAAAAATCTTTGAAAATTGAATTTTTACGGATGAATGAGATAAGAGGACAAAGAAAGAAAAATAATGACGTGTCACTATACTTTTAGATAAATTTCCAAGAAACATTTCAAAATCTAATATTTACATCCACTAGATTATGTTGCACCAATATGGGTATCATGGCAATGCAAAAAAATGAATTTCTCTTTTTGTCCTCTGTATTCTTCCGTAAAAATCCAATATAGCGCTCATAAGTAATAAGAAATTAGTAGCACGTAGTTTCGACATCTAACGTATTGAAAATCGAATAACCGATCCATATTCTCCGAAAAAAAAAGTGCCCATAGAAGGTGCTAACGAAAACCGTCCAATTCCGGCCCAGGACCTAGGAAAAATGAAAACGAAATTTGACATTTTCAGTTTTTGGGTGATCTCAGTTATTGTTAAAGATTTTTCAAACATTTCAAATGCGTTTTTTAGTCCCAAGAAGAGGAAACGATAGCCGCTAGGTAGTTTGAATATTTCTAATTTTATATGTGTGTAAAATTGCATTGCGCTTCATAAGAATAGTAGGCACGAGTCGGTTAATTACCATACGCGTTGAGCTGAGCGATAATCCAAGCGAGTCGCGAGCATTGCATCAGCTCTGTATCGGTTTTTGTGCTTAGATAAAATACAGGCTCGCGGTTGGCTGAGACGCGCCCGCGGATGGAGACGAACCGTTCCGTTGCGTTGGTACTGTATCACACGAATTAGAAGGTATTGTAAAAATTAGATATCTAAAGGGCATAATAAATTTGCTGTCAAAGCTTATTTTGTGATTGAAATATAAAAGGAAACCCCCTTAATATATTATGGTCAATTGCAACACGACACTTTCAGATGAAACAATTTACCGAAAATTCAATTGCTGCGATTTGTATGGCCGGAAAATTAGGATAACGAGTGGAGACTTTTATAAGGTTGTCAATCGGAGAAATTTGCCGAATGTAAAGTTTTCTAACCTTGTTAAAAAAAGAAAAAACTGCAAAACAGAACTTTATGGCAGGAAAGTTATTAATCAACATTTTATGTGGGTACTTCTGGAAGTTTTATCACCTCTTGGGTAAAGAAAACCGTGTAACGTACACAATTTTTCCTTCATCAAAGTTGGCAGCGTAGAGAAATTTACATAATTGAAATCTGAACGCTGCACCGTTTGTAATCATTCTAAATATATTTTGGAATTTAGTATAAATAATATCTGTATGTGTCTGTTACAAAAAAATAATTCCAATTTGGAGTTTGTACATGTCTGTGTCCCTCAAGGGTACTATTAGTGCATACCTCGGTGCATACATACCTTCCCGAAGTACGATTGACTGGATTGATAAGCTACCCGTGCTCAATTATTGTTTAATAGTATTACTTATTTAGTAACGAGCGACCCAGCTCGTTCATGATTTTGGACATTCTGCCCGTACGTCCGTCTGTAATACGCAATAATTTGCCACCCTCTTTGCATCACTAAGGGCCTCGCTTGTACAATGCACATTCAATTAATGATAACAATGCTAATTAGCGACTAACGAGTTCGCAAAAAGATATTGCATTAGTATATAAGGTCGCAACAACGATAATTATTAAAAGTATTCACAGAATGTTGTTCCTGTACTTAGTGATCGGTTTTTCCACGCATTCGGCAAATGGTAACCTTATACTTCTCTCAATATAACCTTTAATCGGTGACTTTTAGCGCAAGTTTCAATTGATGGATGTTATTCTTCGATGTGCTATGTATCAAATAGTAGTTATTCCATATACAACACCCTAGCGACGAAATTGTTCGAGTACAAATCGTACTGACAATTACTGGTGGTTTTATAAAAGAAACGTTGGTATTCAGCTAAATGTCAATCCTAAGTTTTTTGAGTACATGAATTCAACAAAAGGTTTAGTTGTGTTGCTCCCAGGTTTAGGTGAAGACTACCTATATGCGAGTACGGCACAAATTAAGAACGCGTATTTTGATTACAATGTTAGTGTACCAGAGATAATAGAAGTCGATTACAATGTTGGTGTACAAGAATCATCCTTATTATCAGCCCCCGAAGGTTTTTGTAACTATTTCCATGTCTCTGAGAAGTTAGCCGAGTTTATAAATAATTTAAATACTAGCCACGGTTTTCAAATTGAAGACATGCACTTAATCGGTGTCTCCTTTGGTGCTCACCTTGCTGGTGTTACTGGATACATACTGCAGACCAAATATGGATACACTTTGAAAAGAATTACTGGTCTGGATCCACTGGGAGCAGGATATAACTGCGTCACTTGTCCGTCTCTTCGGCTGAATCAAGGCGATGCCAAGTTTGTTGATGTGATACATACTAATCCGGGAAGAATTGGCGTACTGGAACCCTTGGGAGACATAGATTTCTATGTAAACTGACCTTATTATTTATCATACCATGCAAATTTTACCTTCAATTTTACTTCTGACCGTGGACAACTTGTTGAAAAGAAAAAAGAGGATGCCGGTTTATATTTCAGAATTCCAAACAAGATCCAAACTGGATGTGAAAACGCGACGGACCCAGGTATCTAGCGTCTGAAAATAGCCTGTGTCCGTTCATAATTAATTTCCAGATAGGTGCAGTGTATTACGTAGTCCAGCGCTTTTCGCTGAAAGTATTCTTCTCAACGATCTTCGGGGGTCAAGCTGTCCAATCCGTTCACAGCTTCCTGTGTGCATCCTTACTGACTACGCCTACATGGGTTTATATGCTCCAAACTCGTCGATGTATAAAGTTTACTATGTGAAGACCAATGCGTCTCCTCCATATGGCCGGGATCCGCCTGGCTCTAGGAACAATTCATGGTCACCATTTGGAATCACACTACCGGGATTAGGAAATCGACCTGGTTTTGGAATCGTCACGCCACCAACTGGCTTGGGTTCATCTGGGTTCGAGTCTACATCTGGAAAACCTCTACGTGGATTACAACGTATATTTGGAAGACGTCGACGTACACGTCCAACTATTCCACCGACACGATCTACTAATCTGTTCTTTTAAACTAATAAACGAGGGCGTTTTGGATTTTCGGTATATACCAATTTGTGTACACCAATGTGTTAATATGCGCTAATTGAAAAATATTTTAGTTAACATTTTCAGGGGCAGGTGGTCCCACAATACTATAAGGATAGTAGTATAATAGGATAACTAACCTTGAGTTATCGTGGTACACCTAGTTCTAGGAAAAGGCAAACAAATTTTTCGTCAAATTAAATGCTCTTTATTTCAGAGTAATTGATACACTTGTTCTACTGGATGTAACTATAATTAAAGTATGTCAAAACATGCAGCTGTACTGTGGCCCAAAAGCACATCTTTTTAAAATAAGTTGGCAGTATTTCGTTTGGGAGTTACGCTACCAAACGCCAGGAACCACACTTACATACTTGCTTAATTATTACACCCTGTATATTAAAATTACTTGATCTGTACAGCTTTTTTTAAATTTCAAAATTACATTCATGGTATCCAATTGCTACAATGAATTTAATTAATGGAACATCTATTTTATGAAAGTAAAAGAAATCCTTGGTAAATTAAAGACAAATATTGCTGTAATCAGGACTTTGTAATAACCCATAATAAGTCCAGTCGAGAAACGATTTCGTAACTCGAAACTAAAAATCAAAACTAACTGAAACCCATGATCGTCAAGTAACAAATACATTGTGTTGTGAAACAGGTTGCTCGAGGTTTGTATGTGTGTTGGTGTCGCTCTAAGGATCGACCAACATAAATAAAACGCAAGAAATGTCGAGTGAAATTGAATTAGAAACGGTAATAACAAAATAAAAACAATCAAATTCAAACCAGGGACTCCCTCTGTTAATCGCACGAGAATAGCTCTAGGGACTTCATTGATTTCAAGGAAGGAAAAAAGAGGCAGTGACAACCTTTCAGGAAATGTGCGCACTTACTTTCTTACTCCTTTGTAAAACATGTAGAGAACTGCTCACTGCTATTGTGCTATAATTGGGAACGTTTATTAAATCGTGGAAAAATAACCTCTTATGAAATTGAAGTGGGAATGGTACGCACACTTTTACCAACTTAAAAGTAATCGTGGAGTATAAGTAACATAACTTCACATTTCGACGAAATTATGGGAACTTTGTATTGTGGGAAATTTAGGGCTTCTCCTGCAATTTTTTTAAACGCTTAACTAAGGTAGCCTCTAGCTATTTTTATTAATTTCATGATCGTAGCTCGGAGGTTTAATAACGTCATGCACTTAACTGAAAAATCTTTCATCTCACTATACTTTTACATAAATTGACACGAAACATTTCAAAATCAAATGTTTTACATTCATTTCTCATCATAACTTTCACTAGATCTGATAACAGATTCAGATTCTCCGAAAAAGGTGTCCATAGAAGGTGATGGTGAACAAAAACCGTCCACTTCCGACCGTTTATATATATACATATATGTGCAAAATTGCATATGTACCGCTTCATACGAATAGTAGGCACGAGTCGGAATATTAACATGCGCGTTGGAAATGCGTGAGCTTATAACTTTTAATTGTGATTATAGTTTCAAAACGGCAGCTCTAATTTTTTTTTGGAGAGCACAGGGCGTGGGCAAGGATAATAGATGCTGAGATGGTATTATTATTGGGCACCACTTCGTTTGTCGTAGAAAAAAACGAAGAAAAATATTGTAAAACAATATTGCATTTAATTGAACAATGTTACTAAGCACAAATGTGGCAAAGAAATGGTGGACTAATTCTTATTGATAATTAAATAGTAATTGATGACCCGGGTCTTTTGCAATGCAACAAATAACTAATTAACATTACGCGCTAACATTAATCGAGCGCAATAGGACAAACCATTTGAGTAAGTATAATTTTACATAATCTCTAATTTCTATTTAAGGTCGGCACACACCCATACGTTCACAACATGCATACGAAAAACACGCAAAACATGCACACATATAATTGCCTTATCTTCAGTTCATGCGGTTACTTATCTTCGGGCGGTCGCCAGGTGACCAGTGGATTGGCCCACGACGATATCAAATCTACTGCTTCGAATTTCACCAACGGAATTAATTTCGTTTAAGGACTCCAAGACCAGATAACACGGAAAATTCGATCGCCATAAAATCTCGAACACTTCTTAAAACAGCTTTGAATCATGTATAAAAAAAAACCTAAAAGACGCAAGGCAATTAATCTAATAATAATGTAGTTTTAATCTTACCCCTAAGTAGAGGGTTTTAAACACTATGACCACTGCGGTCTAATTAATAATTTGTTTGTAAAGCCAAGAAAGTTTTGCAAATATTAACGTAAATAATTCAACTTTTATCGTTGAATGTCTGGCTCGTTCTGCCTCGAATTTTTAAAGATTACTTCCCTATTCAAATACGAATAAATGCAATTTAAATTGACTAGTGCCCTCTATCTGCACTATTATTAAAATGAACACGTTACAAGCTGTGCAATAATCCAAGCAAATTACGAAAATAGCGGCGGTTTCCGTGTCTGTTTTTTCTGCTAGACAACATCAAGCGCGAAGTTAAAGTGAAAATAGGACAGACGGGTAACGATCGTCTGAAAGTGCAGGTCGTTCACGCCGAAAATTGCGATTTTGAAATGAAGCGAGTTTAGCAAAATAAAACTGAAAGAGGGGTCGAGGAGTGATCGTGGTAGAGTACAGGTCTTTTGCTAGAAATTTTAAATAAAGTACTAGACTTTTCAAGCGGGTCGTTATACATTTCTTGTGTGAATAATACAACGGAAGAGAAAAATTCGGACTAGCGACGAAAACGCAATTTGCCAATCGCCATTCGCATTGGGAAATACGTGTCATCCTACTGGCCGTTACGTTGTTTCGTGCCAGGGGCATATGATCGTAAACTTGAGCGATTCCAAAATAATTTCGTTTTACAATCGCGCAAACTAAAGATAGAAAGCTTATATTCGCACTGAATAAAGTATCATATGCATGCATTATGTGATTCAATCCGCACGGAAGCCGATGAACTTCATAACTTCATATACCACGAGTTCGAACCTCGACCTAGAGGAATCCTGAGCCAATTCTATGGCATCGATGAAACTTCAGGATAACTATAATTAAGAATTGGTTACTCTGTTTGTTGTTGACCGTGCATTAGATAAGGGCATAATAATTTCAATTTGCTGTCAAAGCTTATTAGCTTTTTTTTGTATTAATAAGTGGTTGAAATATAAAAGGAACACCCCTTAAGATATTAGGTCCAAGTGTAACATTTCAGCCAACAAGGTAAGGTTAACTAAAGTTAAGTGAAATGTATTTTTCCCCGAAAGTAAAATAGTTTGCCTTTCACAGTGCCCCGCTCTGTACTACGCAACACTGCAGAATTTTTGGAACGTATCTGCATGTATCGCAACCCTGTAACTATCCTTCCAATAATACAAAGTCTTGAACTGAAAAAATGTTATTGAATTATCAATTGATACGTTACTAATTTACGATGGAAACTTGGTCTTAACGTAGGTGCGATGCATACAGACGCTGCCATTTAGGTGGCCGAAATTAGGATAACGAGTGAAGGCTTTAATATAATATTGTCATCCGGAGAAATTTGCTGAATAGAAAGTTTTGTAACCTTGTTAAAAAAACGGAAAACTGCAAAACAGAACTTTATCGCAGGAAAGTTATTAATCAGCATTTTATGTGGGTACTTCTGGAAGTTTTATCACCTCTTGGGTAAAGAAAACCGTGGAACGTACACAATTTTTCCCTCATCAAAGTTGGCAGCGTAGAGAAATCTACATAATTGAAATCTTAACAGCGCCGCACCGTTTATAATCATTCTAAATATATTTTAAACATAAGTAGGTAACTGTGGAGTCTTGTATAAATATAATATGTGTTTGTCACAAAAGATTACGACTCAATTTGGAGCACGGTGTTCGTTTGTACATTGTCAGTGTCCCTCGGGAGTACCGTTAGAGCAGTGGTTCTCAACCAGCGTTCCGCGGAACATTGGTGCTCCGCGAATGCCTATCAAATGTTCCGCGAAATATAATTATGTAATATGTTACCTCTTAATTTAGTCAGTTATTATTTATTATATCTTATGTGTATTATTGAAACGTGCGTATTTTTAATTATTTATTTTTAATGAGGATCACTGTTTCTCACATTAGGCCTGATATTAACAAAATATGACAACATCAGGCACAAGTGTCCCACTAATAAACTTTGTTTCTTATGTTACTTTTGGTTTTATACCTATATTTTTAAGTTTCAGTGGTGTTCCGCGCGATTTCATTTACAATCTATAATGTTCCGTCACCAAAAAAAGGTTGAGAACCACTGCGTTAGAGTATACATATCTTTCTGAAGTACGATTGACTGGATTGGTAAGCTACTACCCTCGTTTAATTAATATTTAATCAGTATTAGTTATTTTTTAACGAGCGATTTTAAACTTCCTGTCCGTCCGTCTATTCATCCGTCTGTGTACATGATAACTCGTGGACGCTCTCGCATTTTCCAATTGGGTTTTCAGTAATAGGGAGACAATGGTCAAGGGATTAAATTTTGATCATTTGGTATTTTTTTCTGTGGTAGTCGCTATTGGTATGAAACAGTTTATTTTTTAGTGCAGAGTTAGTTGCTGAAAGGATGTGCATCTTTATTGGTAACCCCCTTACTACATCTATTTAATTTAGCTTTGCAAACATGTACATTCCCTGAAGCTTGGAAATGCACCAGAATAACACCAATTCACAAAAGTGGAAGCCGAAAATTAGTTGAGAATTATCGTCCAATTGCAATTATACCAGCAATAGCGAAAATTTTCGAAAGAGTGATCTATACTAGACTTTATTCCCATCTCAGCAGTATAATTTCAGATCAACAGCACGGTTTCACGCGGAACAGATCAACGATTACCAATTTAATGCAGTTTACGCATTTCTCAGCAGCAGCCTTGGATGAGAGAGCCCAGGTAGACTGTGTTTATACAGATTTTGCGAAGGCATTTGACACAGTATCCCATCAGGTCTTGCT